CCATGTTGCCTGTGGGGGCCGGCAACTCAGCAGGCTCTGCTGGGGCAGCAAGAGGTGCGTACCTGTTGCTCAGTTCTGGTGGGGGAGGGGCCTTGGTGCGGCAGGCCTTAGGGCCCTTGACCACCTTGGTCCATGCACTTGGCTGGACACAGCAGGATGTCCCAAAGTCCTCCTTTGGCGTGGAGGGGGACTGTGGTCTACCCTTCGCCTCCCGGGGGAGAAGGGCCTGGCAGTAGGAGTCTGTCTCCTGCTCGCAGTCCCTGATGGCATGCAGTCTCTGGACTGTGGCCTGGAGCTCCTCCAGCTGGCGTGCCAGAGACCCCAAAAGGGAGCAGACCCCACAAGGCTAGGTCACCATGCTCCCAGGCCCCAGAGCCTGAAAAAGGGACAGGCAGCCCCCCGCAGCTGAGAGCCAGGGGCTCCGTCTGCGTGGAGCCCGGAACCAGCTGTAGTACTTAAAATATTTACTGTTTATAAACAGTTCTAGGAGATAACCCTTTGATCTTGTGGGCTCATTGGAGTCAGTGGACATCTTCCCATTGATGATTGACCCTGAATTGGTTCCAAACATCAGCCATTGAAAGAAGGTTTCCTCCTATTAGTTCAAAGCAGCATCACTAGAGTAGTTTCTGAAGTTCTAGGGTAGCTTTGCTAGGAAATGTTAATAAAAGAGAGTGTTTTAATGAGAACTATATATAACACATGATAATGTGCATTTATATAGCTTGAACCGAATCTGGGCCAGAAATATTATTTTGCCAAAAAATATTATTATTATTTTGCCACTATTTTTCAAATATTCTTGAAATATTATTATTTTGCCCAAAATAAGAGAAGTATCTCTTAAATGTAATTACTGTTGCCACAATGACAGATTATCAACATTCACCTAATCATATGTATTCATTCAGGCTATTTTTTTTTTTTGTAAGAAATGTGATCCTGACCTGTCAAAATGATGCCTGGGCTGAACTTTATGTCTATAGGGAGCCACAATGACTGTAGGGGGACTTACTTAAATTAAGTGCAGGGACCTGTCCATGTGGGCTTTTTATTTAGAACAAGGCTTTCATTCATCTGGTTAAGCCATTGCAGCTCATTCCTTCCTTTCATTTTGCTGAGGGTGTTGGAAACCTGCACATTATCTGGTTGTCTCCTCTAAATAGAGGTTGGTAGCTTTTTCTGCTGTATCTGAATCATGTAGTCAAAGCAAGGATCAAAAATTAATGAGATGAGAGCTCCTATTTTTTTGCTTAATTCATGGAAGTGGAACCTACTGTTTATTGTTTTACTTGTGCATCTCTTACAACTCAGTGGTAGAAGTTGGTCTTTCAGCACAAATGACAGAAGCCCATGCTGTAAGTACTTGACATGCATGGTTTACTTCCTAGTCCTCAGCAAGATCTTTGGATTAACTCAGAATTACTCACTCTAGATCTGGTTAGAAAAAAAACCCCACACACATAAGATGTCTTTATTATCAGCTTTTAGAGGTGTTTAAACATGAATTAAAAACCTTTTGTCCTTCATGGCTTCCTTTTCTAAAATGTTACTTTAATCTTCCTGTCTATAGATTCTTTCCTTGGCAGAACAAATTCAGTTCACTGAAGATGTTGAAAATGCCATTAAAGAGCACAATCTACAGCAGATAGAGTTAGAACTCATGGCTAAACTGGAGCATTATACCAGTATAGATACAAGTATGGAAGACCCAGGAAGTGGAGGTATAAAAATGATCATAACAGTATACTTTATTCTAAAAATGTAAAGTATTAAGCATTCCATTCCTCTATTCAAGAAATTACATAGCGCTATCTATAATCACCAGATCTTGGAGGTTTAACATTTTAGGGGATGCCATTGCCTTTTCACTGGCCATTGCCTTTATTTTGTGTTTAATATTATTTTGTAGCTGGAATTTTTCTCTTAATTTTAATATACTTTATTTTTTATTTTCACATTTTTGCAATATTATATATTTACTAAGTAACATGACTAGGAGTGGGTGAGGGGCAGTTGCCTCAGGCACTGATTTAAGAGCGGGGCATCAGAATGGTGGCCCTTGGGGAACTCATGGCATGACAGGAGCAGCTCACCCATGAGCAGGTAAAATCTTCTGCCAGTTGGCACAGCACCACCCTCCCTGCCCAAGAGGCCAAGATTCTTAGTTATGCCTCTGTATTTATGTATTATTTCTTACCACAGAATCCAGTTCTACATCCTGTTCTGATTCTGAGGTTGATTAAGCATTGGAACAGGCTACCTAGAAAAGGAATAGGAATTTTTCAAGAGCAGGTTGGACAAGACCAGGTTGCTTGGGGTGTTTAAGTCAGAGATGATCCTTCCTTGAGCAGAGGGCTGGTGTAGATGACCTGATGAGGTCCCATTCAGCCCTGCTTTCCTATGATCCTTTTCTTCATTTGTTAATTTCTAATCCAGTATTTATTATGAAAGGACTGGGTGGACGTTCCTGGATATGCATGGTATCATGTCAGAGTATTCTGTATAACTATTTCGGTTTGAGCTCAGGTGTTCCTTCTGGACTATATTTTAATTCGATTCTGGAATTATCTCTAGGTACATTTGATCCTACAAAGTTAAAAAGCACCAATCTGATCTGGTAAATACTAATAGGAGGAAATATTAATGACTAAGAACTCCTAATTATGTTTTGTGTAGTAATTTCCTATCTCTGAGAGGGACAGTAATTCATGTGAGCTATATCTCTTAGTGGACGAACTGCATGGTTGGGATAGACTAGTGGTTTACAACCTGTGGTCCGTGGATCCATGGGGATCTGCAGACTATGTGTAAGGGGTATATGAAAGATGATTCTGATCAGTCAAAAGTATGTGAATACCTGCACTTACAATTCAAAGGGGTGTGCACCTCCGTTCAACATTTCCAAAGGGGTCCTCACCTCCATTCAGAATTTTTTAGGGGTCCACAAATAAAAAAATGTTTGAAAACCATGTGGATAGACTATTACAATAGACATAGAGCCTTTTTACACACTGCATTTTGAGCTGCTTAAATGTTGATAGGTGTTAGTGCTAGCTTGAGTTTGGAACAGTCACAGCTCAAGGCTAAAGACCTTCTCTGACTGTCCCCAACCTGCACAGCTGTGACTTGCCACTAGAGGGCTGGAAAGCAGGGGCCAGACCAGGAGCTAAAGCTGAGTTGCCACTACAGGACTGGTGAGCCAGGACAGGTTTCTTCTATCCCTTCTATGCCTGATCTAATCTCATTTGTATGTTGATTGCTTTAGATTTTTAATAATGTCTTTTATTTCACTAGACTAAATGAGATCTTGATTGTAACAAACAAGATACTCTACTTGAAATGTGCTAACATTTAATCTGAACTGTTTCACTGTGTTGCATAATTTTATTTTAATTTATAGAATCTGGAATCCTTGAACTAAAGCTTAAAGCTCTGATTCTTGATATTATTCATAACCTTGATGTGGTGAAGCAGCTAAATGAAGTTCAGGTTCATAGTGTTGATGACTGGGCTTGGAAAAAGCAACTCAGATTCTATATGAAAGACAAGAAATGCTATGTTCAAATGGTGGATGCTGAACTGCAGTACACATATGAATATCAGGTATGGTAGTGTTAGTTCTTTTTTCTGTCTTTTAAATATGTTGTGATAACCTTTCTGTTCAAATACAGTATAACCTCATAAATCCAGCATCCTTGGGACCAGGACCTGCCAGAAATTTGAAAATTCCAGATTTTTGAAACATAAGGAAAGTGCACGTAGCCTTAGGACAATATTCTTTGCTATTACGCTATATATGTGACTGAGTATTGTTCAAAACAATACCTGTAGGCTGATGAACAAAAACAATGGCAGTTGGAGAAGCGCTGGACTTCCAGAGAAATTTCTGGATTATTGGGAAGCTATTTTTAATGCAATAATGTAGTATACTCTGTTTTTAAAAAGTGCCAGATTTTTGAGATTTCCAGAATTTTGAAAGCCAGATTTATGAGGTTATATTGTATACTGCTTTATCTATAGTTGCTCCCATGCTGTTTCCCTGTGTTATTGCTTCCATCTTGGGGTGTTATTTTGTAGGAAAGATTGAAAAGTAATGTAGTCATATGTTGTTGGTCTTAAGCTTGCTCCCTTCTACAATCAAGTGGTAAGGGATCTTGAATGGATAGTAGAAAATGTAAAACACAGCCCAAAGTTCATTGGGGAATGTGAGAACACATGCATAGCAAGATGATGTTTGATAAAGGGGAGATCCGAAGTCCCTGTGTAACAAGGCTACCTTGATAACCTGTACCTCCCATGGAGAGGAAGAGAGAGCTCAGAAGTGAGATAAAGGTTATTCCAAAGAGTATCTCCTTTGATTTATTGTTTATAAAACCATTGTGGAAATTCTGATATATCATTGTAGAATCAATTATGTATCTTGTCTATAAGGGAAGGTGGGTAAGCACATATCACCCATTTCTTTGAAACCAATAAAGTTCTGTCTTGCTTCTTTAATCCATCCCATGTGGCTGTTCATTTAGCTATGCACTTGATCAAACTTCTTATCTTCTATAACCCATGATATTGAAGTTTTAAGTTGAACAGATGACTTATGTAGCTTTAATGACAAAGTGCTTAGTATATGGTTATGGTTTTTACTTTCTCATTTTTGACAGTTCTAGGTAAAATGCTGAACTAGGGGCAGATAAGGATAAGTAATCAGAACTAGTGACTATTTTGAATAGAATAAACTTTTATAAACACTTTTGAACAAATTATCTTTTTGATTATGGGAGTGGAATGTCTGTTGAAGCTAAAGGGAGAGAGAATGTGCCAGTTGTTTTTCTTTTATAACCTCTTTCTTTGGTCCATGAATGATTGAATCCTGATTTTTCTAGTATTTCTAGAGGATATTTTATGAATGTGAAACGATGAAAAAACTATTCAGTGACGTATAATTATCATACTTGAGCAGTGAGTAATTTGGACTTCCTTGTGTTATCTCTACTAGGTGTAATTATTAGGTATAATATTGACTTACAGTCCTTATTACTGTGCATTAATCCATACAATATATATTTTCTTTCTTCAGGGAAATTCTCCAAAACTTGTTTATACACCTCTGACAGATAAGTGCTATTTAACTCTTACCCAAGCTATGAAGATAGGCCTTGGAGGAAATCCCTATGGCCCAGCTGGAACTGGAAAAACAGAATCAGTAAAGGCCTTGGGAGGACTTCTTGGAAGACAAGTTTTAATCTTTAATTGTGATGAGGTGGGGTAATATTAATCTTTATAATTTAGGAGATAAGTATCTTTTACAATATGTAGTTTATAGAACAGTTTAAAATATTCCTGTGTATAATTTAACAGTATTTTTCTGTCCAGTATATATTTTGGGACATTAACAATAACTGAATAGCAAAAGAATCTTTACTAATTGCTTTCCTGGCATTTAGCAGACTACTAATTTTCTTCTTTTATTTCAAGGGCATTGATGTGAAGTCGATGGGCCGTATATTTGTTGGTTTGGTGAAGTGTGGTGCTTGGGGATGTTTTGATGAGTTCAATAGATTGGAGGAGGCAGTATTGTCTGCAGTATCCATGCAGATTCAGACAATTCAGCATGCACTGAAAAAACATAGTCCTGTGTGTGAACTGCTTGGCAAAGAGGTACAGTACAAAATGTTCTTTTTTGCAGAAAACTATTCTTGTGCTATAACTAAGAGCAAATGTCTTTTGAGCACCCTGTGAGCCCTCATACTATTAAGAAGTATATCATTTTTAGATCCAACATATAAGTCCATTGTGTACAAGGTACATCTCTTGCCTAGTGTTTCTAATAGGGTTGTGTAATATCCTAACTACCTGAGTTATATCAAACCTGAAGTACATAATGCTAAATATACCAGCTTTGTTACAATATATTGATTTTATTGCCAGGTTGAAATGGATCATAATTCTGGAATTTTTATCACTATGAATCCTGCTGGAAAAGGTTATGGAGGAAGACAGAAACTACCAGATAACCTCAAACAACTTTTTAGGCCTGTTGCTATGACTCGTCCAGACAATGAACTCATTGCAGAAGTAATTCTGTATTCGGAAGGTTTTAAAGATGCTAAAACACTTGGCAGAAAATTAGTGGCTATTTTTAATTTAGCCAGGTAATCTTATTTTAAAGCATTCTTTAGGGTTTTTTTGTTTTCTTTTGGTTCTGCTGGTTCTGTTTGTTGTTTATACAGACGTTTTTTTCTTATGCTGTGTTTAATACTACCTCTTATGATTATGTCTTGAACCTTGTTTTTTATTTCAATTAATAGACTAATGAAATAAAATGCATATAAAGCACAAGCTTTTTATGATCAGCATCTGATAAAATGAACTTAAGCTGCCATGTTTTATATTTTAATGAGAATACAGCTAATATCCACATAACCACAGTGGTTATTTTTCATATACATGCATATTACAGAAACCAAAACTGTGAATTACTATAAACTCGATTGTTGTTTTTTGTTATTAACAACAACCAAAACAGTAACAATAATAACTACACTAGATATTGAATTCACTGCTTGTCTTATTGTTGGGAAAGATATATTCAAGTATATATCTCAAGCCTGTGAAAAAGTATTACCATATTTATCTGAATCCAAGACAACCTGGAATTTAAGATGACCCCTCAATAATTAGATTCTATGCATGGAAAATTTATAAGTTTGTTATAATTTTCCATGTATACAACTTAATTATTGGAGGTTATCTTAAATTTGTCATCCCCTCCCCATTCGTCATCCACTGCCATTGCTGCAGTGGCAGGCGGATAGGCAGGGGGAAAGCAGGTGGTGGAGGAATGAGCAGGGGACAGGCAGTGGGGGGATTCAAGCTGCTTGACCCTGACTCCCCACACCTTGCCGCCGGTTCACCCTCACCTCTTGCCTTGCTCCTTCCTGTGCTGTCACTGTTAGTGGGCCAGGCTGTGGCTGGAGCAAACATGTGCCCCATGCTTCTGTGGGGATGGAGCCTACTGGAGCTGTAAGCATGGGTAAGTGGCAAGCAGGGCGGGGGGCTCAAGGCTGCAGTTGTGCCCAAGATTGCAGGGGGGTCAGCCAGGAGGAGCAGAGGATGCGGGGTGGTGGGGGAGGAGGCAGAGGCAGTGGGGAAGGGTGAGGTAGGCAGCAGCTGTACCCCTGGCCCTGTGGCCAGAATCAGAGCAACTGTCTGCCCCTGCTACCACCTCATACTGAAATCCAAAAGGACAGGCTTCCACCCTATATTAAATGGGGAAATAAACTTTGTCTTGTGTTTGAGTAAATAGAAAATCTAATATCTCTGATTTTTGATAAAATAATTGTGTAAATTCCAGATTTGTCATTCAAAGTTTATGACATCATTAATGTTTTTTTTTAAATTTAGGGAACTTCTAACACCCCAACAGCACTATGATTGGGGTTTAAGAGCACTGAAGACTGCTTTGAGGGGATGTGGTAATCTCCTTCATCACCTGAAGAGGAATGGGATAAAGGAAATAAGTAAGATTTGATTATGTCAAGGGTTTGTTCATATTTGATTAGTCAGGGCACAGTATGGAAATAAGTATTAGTAATTTTCATGTTTTTTTCAAGTACAAGAAAGTCATGTCCTGGATCCATAGGAAACCTGATTATTCAAAAGAAATATAAGTCTTTGTGAAAGCCCTTCCTAATTGTAGATTCATATTTAGAGACTGGAGCGACTATTGTCTGAGTAAAGTCCATAAAATAATGAATGGTGTGCAGAAAGAAAATAGAGATTTACAATTTTCCAGCTTTCACAATATCAGAACTAGGGGACATAATGGGGAATTATTTGGAAGCAGCTTTGAAACTAATGGAAGTTTTTCCACACAGTGTGTAATTAACTTATGGCAGCCGTCACCAACTGGTCAATCCTGGGCTGGGGGGGCAGGGACTGAGCATGTGCCTGCATGCATGTGACCCCCCCCCAGCCCAGCAGGTCAGTTGGTGGGACAGGGAAGGGGCTGGAGCCAGATCAAGACCCTCCGCGGTGAGGGACTGAGTGCAGGAGCAGCCCAGTGAGTGGGGCCCCAGCTGGGAGGGTGGTGGGAGGATCAAGCCCAAGTGGCTCATCCAGGGTTGGGAGAGGTGGATCCCAGAGGAGGTCCTGGGGGGCATGTGCCCCCCTATCTGTGCTCAGTGGAGGCAGCTGCCGCTGTGGCTTTGTCCCCTGAGCCCTGCTGCAGCTGCAGCTGCCCAGGGAGTGGCCTGATGCCACATGCATCTAGCTGCTCCTGGGCCAGCTGCAGTAGGGCTCCAGGTGCAAAGCCCAGCCCGCAGCAGAAGCTGACTCCACTACGCACAGATTGGGGGACATGTGCCCCCCAAAACGCCAAGCAGTATGGGTGGCTGCAGCAGTGGTCAGGTCGGGAGATGGGTCTGGAGCAGGGGCAGGCCTTGCACAGCTGGGGCAGGGTGGGATGGAGCCACAAGCAGCTCATCCAGGTGTGGGGGGCATTCACCCTGGGAGGTGTGCCCCCAGAATTGTGCGGGCTGGGGCGGCACAGGCTGCAGCTGCCAGCTGGGTCTGGGCTGTTTGTGGTGGAGGATGCGGCTATGCTCTGCTTGGGCCAGGCGGCAGCGGCCCCTTGTGCCCTCCCTGGGTGAGTGCCCCCCTTCCTGGCCCCCCGATGAGCTGCTCGCAGCTCTGTCCCATCCTGCCCTGGCTGTGCAAGGTTTGCTTCTGCTTCGGCCCTACTCCCTCCCTCACTGCCATTGGGGTGGGGAAGATCAAGGCTCCAGGGGGGAGGGAGGGAGTGGGGCTAGGGCTGGGGCCTCCATCTGCCCTGTCCCCTCGACGGCCCTTTCCTTTTCCCTCCCTCCCCCACCACAGACTTACCTGCTGGGCAGGGAGGAGGGAGTGTGGTGGCAGCACTGGCACGGGGTAGATCTTGGGCTCCTTTTAAATTCCAAAAGTGATCTCCGACTTAGAAAGGTTGGAGACCACTGACTTAATGGAATATATTGTTAGAAGATATTGTAGAGGCTGACATTTTAACCAGGTTCAAAAGAGGATTAGACAAATTCATGGAGGATAGTCTGTCAATGTGTAATAAACATTCAAATTGTGTATGCAAGGTCCAAAGTCGACTTCCTAGTCCTCTAACTACTGGAATATGTATGGGAAGAGAGGCAAGGGACAGATCAATAATGGATAAGCTCTGCATAAATACTCTTCTCTTTAACAACCACTTTCAGCCACTGTGAGATGTAGAAAAATGGGTTGGGTGTATGATTTGAATCAATGGCCATGTCTACATGAGACATTTACTGTGCAGTAGCTCATTACTACTTTGCAGTAGCTTGTTAATACTGCGCAGTAGTGTCACCAGTCGCAGATTGTGACGCAGCACTACTGCTCAGTAGTAACAAGCTACTGAGCATTTAGTGTCACTAGGCAACTGTGCCAGGATTCTACTGCACAGTAATGCCGGTTGCTTTGCAGTCATTTAGCATTTGGTTATACAAGTAATAAATGACTGTGCAGTGGGCATCTTGTGTAGACCCGCCCAGTGTGGCAAATCTTATGTCTTAACTAATCTGACTTTTTACACAACAGAAGTCCTGTGGCCTGGCTCAGTTAATTTCTGTTTGAACTACAGCGTATTTTAGAAGAAAAAAAATTATGTTTAAAAAAAAAAAAAAAAATTTATTTAAAAATTGCCAGTGATAGAGAACTTGATAAGCTGTTTTAGAAAATAAGTTCACAAATCAAACTAACTAAAATTAATAATTTATAGAAACTCAAGGTTTTTAATGTGCAGAGTTGATAGGGTGCAAATAGCTCATCTAGTTGAAATCTGTACTATTCTTGAGCTAACAGACATGATTCTGATTAAATATTGTTAATATATACAGCAAAGAGATGCTACTCCTCAAGTCACCTCAGTATAGGTTGGTGGGTACAGACAGTGCTATTTATAGTAGTTTAATGGATCATAATATTGTGTATTTCAAGAAAACTGTTCTTGAGTTGGTGGTTATTTTTATCTCTGCATAGTTTCATAGTTTCAGGGTCGGAAGGGACCTAATAGATCTTCTAGCCCGACCCCCCGCCAGGGCGGGAGAACAACCCAAAAACACAAACAAAACCACTCACCCTAAAAACAAAAACGGGACTCAAATGAGTCCAGCCAGGTAAGTATCCAGCCTCTTCTTAAAGATCCCCAGGGTAGGGGCCAGCACCACCTCCCTTGGAAGTTGGTTCCAGCTCCTAGCCGCCCTGACTGTGAAGTAGTTTTTTCGGATGTCCAATCTGTACCTCCTCTCCATCAACTTGTGCCCATTATTCCTTGTTATGCCAGCATGTGAGAGAACTTAGAGTGGCTGAGGAGTTTGTATCTTAGGGATGTGGATTTTTTTAGTTTAAGAAATAACAGGTCTGCTTTGTCTGTTTTCTGTAAGTAGTTAGAGACAACCCTGTTTTTCTGTTTCAGTTTTACTGGGTTGCTGTAAAGCAACCCGCTAACAACTCGTAAACAACTTCAGGAATTGATCTGTCTGTCAAAAAGATACCAGTAGCATATTTTAGGTTGTAGCTGACTGTTATTTGGTCAGTCAGGATAGAGATTATTTCATGTTAGAGCTTCTAAAAATTCCCAGATAAAGTTCCATCTGGCGCGCACTATTATTTTCAACCATCCAGTTGCCATCCCAAAAGCCACATTAGGTAGAGTTCATTTCTGCTTTAGAGTAGAGAACTTATAGCTGTAATTTATTTGTACTTCTTTTCCTTTGTCTTTAGTAATTTAATAAACTTCCTTCAGAAGCAGATACCAGCTTCTAGGTACCATACCATACTGTAGTACTGCTAATTAGCAATTTAACGTAATCTTTTTGAATGACAAAAATCATCAAATTGTTTTGGCAATTTAACTTAAGGTGATGATATACCAGCAATGGAAATAAGTTAGATTGTTTTTCTGCAGTTAATGAAAGCCATATTGTGGTCCAGGCTTTGCGGCTCAATACCATGTCGAAGCTTACATTTGCAGACTGTGCACGGTTTGATGCATTAGTTAAAGATGTCTTCCCTGGCATTGACTTTAAGGATGTGGAATATGCTGAACTGGCCACAGGTTTGCAACAAGTCTTTAAAGAAGCCAATATGGAAATCATAAACACCCAGGTAAATGTGAAATGTAGCCATAGATCTGGTCTAGCTACTCTGAGTTGGGAGTTTAAATAAGTCTTGTAGTGATAATCTTTCATTTAGATTTTTATATTCAAGCTTGTAAAAAAATCTGATTTTGCCAAAAACGACTGAAAGCCAAAATTTAATGAAATACATATAAAAAGTACATGCCTGCACTCAGAGAGGCAGACCTCCTGCATAAATTCAAGATGACTCTTATTTTAATCTATGTGAATGTCTGCATAGTTTAGCAATATCCTGGTTTAATCTAATATGTGAAAATTTCAAGCAGTAATAGCAGAAATTGTTTAGCTAAAATATTTTTTTTTAGGAAGAAACTGAATTCGTAATGGTACTTACTTTATTCATTTTACATTTATAAATGTTATTTATTTTGAGGTAAACTTAGACTTTGTGTATGAAAATTCTCTAATATCCCCATCAAAATAGAGAGAGGGAATTAGCCTTGTTAGTCTGGAGTAGTAGCATTTTATTTCAATCAGTAGGTCAGTGTAATGACTGAACTGTCAGAGCCAGATATTCTTGAATAGATTGATTTTTACATTCTTTGCACCTTTGGTTAGGAAGTGACTGGATGCCAAGTCAAACAAGAATGTGTGAAAAGGATTAGGGGTTTAGGTTGTAGCCGTGTTGGTCTAAGGATATAGGCAGACAAAGTTCCTTGGGTGAATTTGATATCTTTTATTAGACCAACCCAAATGGTTGGAGAATAGTTATTAAGCAAGCTTTCGGGTTCAAAAACCCTTTGTCAGGCTCAGGAAGCTTTGGTAGTTGGTGTGTGCTCTTCCTGGATGGAATGAAAAGTAAACAAGCCAGGGGCTGGGCTGGGCTGGGGAATCAGTTGCCAGGCAGATTATAATGTATCAAAAATCCAATGTCTACGTTTAGTCCCTGATCTCTAGTATCCAGCAGGTTGATGAAATGGAGCTCATAGGCTCGTCTCTGGGAAGTGTTGTGTAAATTTCCCTTGAGGATCAGGACTGAGAGATTGGAGAGAAAGTGGCCTTCCTGTGAGAGATGTGCCCCCACCGGTAATTGGGTGTTTCTGTCTTTGATGGATTTCCGGTGTGCATTCATTCTGGTGCGCAGTTGTTGTATGGTCTCTCCTACATATCTTCCATCAGGGCATTTGGTGCATTGGATGAGGTATACTACATTCCTTGAGGTGCAGCTGTAAGATCCTGGGATGCTGATGGCTCTGTTGTGGGGTGTAGTAATAGTGGGGGTGGTGGAGATGTGGGGGCAGGTTTTGTATTTCTTGTCATGGCACGGTCTGGATCCTTTTGGTGTGTTCTGGGGTTGAGGAAGTTTGCTTCTGGTGATGAGGGTGGCGAGGTTTGGTGCTTGTCTGAAGGCTAGGATGGATGGCTCTGGGAAGATCTAGCCACCCATCCTAGCCTTCAGACAAGCACCGAACCTCGCCAACCTCCTCACCAGAAGCAAACTTCCTCAACAACTTCCTAAACATAGACATTGGATTTTTGATACATTATAATCTGCCTGGCAACTGACTCCCCAGCCCAGCCCAGCCCAGCCCCTGGCTTGTTTACTTTTCATTCCATCCAGGAAGAGCACACACCAACTGCTGCAGCTTCCTCAGCCTGACGAAGGGTTTTTGAACCCGAAAGCTTGCTTAATAACTATTCTCCAACCATTTGGGTTGGTCTAATAAAAGATATCAAATTCACCCAAGGAACCTTGTCTGAAAAGGTTTAGAGAATAAGTTTGGGAACAATAGAAGTGCTGTTAACCTTGCGTAACTATCATTTCTTTTTTGCAAGATCAAGAAGGCCTTGGAATTATATGAACAGCTGCGTCAGAGAATGGGGGTGGTTATTGTAGGTCCAAGTGGTGCAGGCAAATCAACTCTTTGGAGAATGTTAAGGTCAGCACTTGGTAAAATTGGCAAAGTTGTGAAACAGTATACCATGAATCCCAAAGCCATGCCTCGGCATCAGTTACTAGGCCACATTGACATGGATACCAGGGAGTGGTCTGATGGTGTGCTTACAAACAGTGCTCGACAAGTGGTACGAGAACCACAAGGTACGTTTGGAGAAGCATATATATCATTATGTTTATCTTACTGAAATAAGTTGTTTTATTCATTTACATTTTGACAATATACTTGCTTGAAATTGGGACAGGTGCGAAGTTTTATGTGTAGTACCATTATGAAGAATATTGATTTGTAATTTCTCAGTTGGTGTATTAAAATAAATGGTATGAAAATATATATTGGAAGGTGAAGAGTATAAGGAATATTTAAACTTGTCACATATAAGGTACATGAAGTTTAATAGTCACAGGAACCAAAAAAAGTCAGAATTTTAGTGTGGATTCATTTTCCTAAATGATTGCCATTTATTTACCTGTTCATTTTTCCTTTTTGTAAACAGATATTAATTCATGGATAATCTGTGATGGTGACATTGACCCTGAGTGGATTGAGTCTTTGAATTCTGTTCTGGATGACAATCGATTATTGACTATGCCCAGTGGAGAAAGAATTCAATTTGGTCCAAATGTTAATTTTATATTTGAAACTCATGATCTGAGCTGTGCCTCTCCTGCCACAATATCTCGAATGGGAATGATCTTTCTTAGGTGAGACGCCAGAGCATTCAAAATGTACACGATTTATTTTCATGTTTTCATCGTTGTTAGGGGCTGGAAGGGACCTTACAGATCATTGGGTCCAGCCCCACTCCACTTAGGCAGGAAAGACTGGGGTCAGATGATCCCAGCAAGGTGGGTGTCAAGATGTTTTTTGAAAGTGGACTGGGTGGGTGACTGTGCCACCTCTGGGGGCAGCCTGCTCCAAACCCTCAGTACTTGACTTATAAAGAAGTTTTTCCTTATGTCCAGATGCATTTTCATTCAGATTCACTGTGAAAAATTAGTGTATACCCTTTTTTTTACATCTTAAGCAAAAGTATGATCCTTTTAGTGTTTCAGCAATATTTCATAGATTTCATAGACATTTGGGCTGGAAGGGACCCTGGAGGATCATCGAGTCCAGCCCCCTGCCCCATGGGCAGGAAGTCAGCAGGGATCATAGGATCCCAGCAAGATAAGCATCCAAATGTGTCTGGAAGGCGTTCAAAGTGGGTGCTTGAACCGCCTTCAGTGGCAGTCTATTCCAAACCTTGGGGGCTCGGACAGTAAAGAAATTCTTCCTTATGTCCAGCCTGAATCGGTCGCGGCCGGATTTGTGACCATCCGATCTTGTCATCCCTTGGGGCGCTCTGGTGAACAGACATTCCCCCACATCCTGATGAGCACCCCTGATAAACTTATAGGTGGCCACCAGATCACCCCTGAGCCTGCACTTTTCTAGGCTGAAGAGGCTTAGACTTCAGGAAGGCCTTCGATACGGTATCCCACACCATACTGGTGAACAAGTTAAGAGGCTGTGACTTGGATGACTACACAGTCCGGTGGGTAGCGAATTGGCTAGAGGGTCGCACCCAGAGAGTCGTAGTGGATGGGTTGGTATCGACCTGGAAGGGTGTGGGCAGTGGGGTCCTGCAGGGCTCGGTCCTTGGACCGATACTCTTCAATGTCTTCATCAGCGACTTGGATGAGGGAGTGAAGTGTACTTTGTCCAAGTTTACGGATGACACAGAACTGTGGGGAGAAGCGGGCACGCCGGAGGGCAGGGAACAACTACAAGCAGACCTGGACAGGTTGGACATATAGGTGGAAAACAACAGAATGCAATTCAACAAGGAGAAATGCAAAGTGTTACACCTAGGGAGGAAAAATGTCCAGCATACCTACTGCCTAGGAAATGACCTGCTTGGTGGCACAGAAGCGGAAAGGGATCTTGGAGTCCTAGTGGACGAAGTCATCAGAAAAGCTAATGGCACTTTAGCATGCATCAGCAGATGCATGACGAACAGAACCAAGGGGGTGATACTTCCCCTCTATCGGGCGCTGGTAAGACCACAGTTGGAATACTGCGTGCAATTTTGGGCGCCGCACTTCAGGAGGGATGTGAATAACCTGGAGAGGGTCCAGAGAAGGGCCACTTGTATGTTTAAGGGCTTGCAGGCGAGGCCCTATGAGGAGAGACTAGGGCACCTGGACCTCTTCAGCCTTCACAAGAGAAGGTTGAGAGGCGACCTTGTGGCTGCCTATAAGTTCATCACGGGGGCACAGAAGGGAATTGGTGAGGTTTTATTCACCAAGGCGCCCCCGGGGGTTACAAGAAATAAAGGCCACAAGCTAGCAGAGAGCAGATGTAGACTGGACATTAGGAAGAACTTCTTCACAGTTCTAGTGGCCAAGGTCTGGAAGTCCCATGGCTCTCAGCCTCTCATCATGAAGTCTGTTTTCCTGACCTCTGATCATGAGCATGGCTCTCCTTTGCATTCTCTCAAGCTTCTCCACATCCTTTTTGAATTTTGGAGCCCGAAACTGGATGCAGTTCTCGAGTTGTGGCCTCGCCAAGGCCGAGTACAACGGGAGAATGATATCCTGGGATTGGCTTGAGAAGCATCTATGGATGAAAGCCAGCGTTTTGCTCGCTTTACTAGCCACAGCATCACATTGAAGG